TTACTTGACCGTTAAATCTGAAAAAATGGCGGCCACCGGCCGTGTGCCCAGCGGACGGCACCAACAAGGGCGAACCGATGCTACTAAGTTTAGGAAAGCGGGTAGTATTAGACAGNAGTACGTACTTACTTGTAATAAGTGCGTGTAAAAGCAGTAAGAAAGGAAAATACTTGCAAAAGCGCAACTAAAAGGCTGTGAAGGACGGGATGCAGGAAGCACGATGTGTCGCATGCGCAGTCTCAGAGTCGAATCTCTCTTCAAATCATTTCAAATAAGGCATAAAACACATATACAAATAGATACGCTGCATTCCGAAATTCATTACCAGTAGGTACTGTAAATCTGTAGGACATGTGACGCGAAATATAAATTTTTAATATACTGGCAGTGAATATCAGAACGCAGTTTTGAGACGCGTACCTTGTAAGTTCCTAGACCAAGCATCGGCATTTTATGTCCATTGTAAAACGTAACCGTTGGAATTTCAGCCATTATTACGAAACGATGTTTTTTCTCAGCGAAAATAAAAAGCAAGTGTGTGACAAAGTTCTACTGCTATTAATGAATAGAAAAACAACAAATAAATTTAAACAAGTTTATTTTTATAGTCTGTTTTTAGACAACTAGCTATTTTTTTAGCTCGAGTTTTGGTTTTTAAGAAGTTCAAAGATTTAACTACTTTTGCAAATTAATAAATTATTCCACACTGGAGACGTTATCGAGCAAAGAACTTATTGGAATTTTGGAAATATTTTGAGTTAAAATTTTTTTTCTACTTACAATAGCTTTCTCTGCCTTGAGACACATCAAATTCTATTTACACACCAATGCGATATTGCACGTTGAATTCTGAGACTTGTGACTTCACACACGTAGCATTCACTACTTGTTTCAATCTATCTTACATGCTATTTATTCAATACCTCTTACGTAACGACCGCACATATTTATCGCGTCATTCACGTCTCTAATCAGTTACTGCCGAGTTTTTCATACTTCCCAATAGTCATCCTCTGGATAAAAACACACAAAAAGATATACTTTATCTTTTTAGTTAAAATTATTGACAACTCATCTAGAGGTGAAGAAATTGAGCATTAGCCTAGAAAACTGTATTTAGAAGTATGTGGGAAAACAAACATATATCTCGGTAGGTAGGTAGGTAGGTAGGTAGGTAGGTAGGTAAGTAAGTAAGTAAGTAAGTAAGTAAGTATACAGAGACAATATGATAACGTCTCACAAGTAGTGATCTTAACAATTCTGTGATCAAGTTTCGAATCGATTTTTTTTTTAGATGACGTAACAGATGATTGTATGTGTGTGATGACTTTCCATAGAATCTTCGGTGTACATGTATGTGATTTGAAAGTTATGACGTATTATTTATTTTGTTTGTCATTTAGCAGTGATTCAACTTTTGGCGGCTAATATTGATTTTCAGAACCAAAAAATGACAAGAAAATTGTGTAATAATTTTTTACGTGATTTTGTACGTGATTTCAATTATTACACAATTTTCTGGTCTTTTCCTTGTAAAACATATTTTAAAGTAATTTCAACAATCTATACTTATTGATGGCAATAATCAATATCTTATATGAGTTTTTTCTTTTGGCTGAAGAGATAGATAAATTTAGATAAGATAACGCTGAAAAATTGATATTACAAGCAAATAGTCAAGATTTTTACATGTGCAGTTTAGGATAGTAAGATATAATACAAGTAATGTATATATATTATTATATATGGTGTAAAATGTAATAATGTATATACTTTGCAATAATTTTATGCTAAAGAAGAGTTTTCAAGCATATATCAGTTTTGTTTTTAAAATTCCAAATGAAAAAGATATTTGTGGTGTCCGCGAGTCTATGTGCGTGAAAGCGGGAAACTTATTAATTCTGTTCATATATTGATAAATATGATGATCTATTAATAAATAAGATTTCGTATGAAATCATTTATAAAACGTACGTGTGTTTGCCATTACATATAATTTCATATTTTGCAATAGATCTAGAAAAACATCACGAGCAATAAACGTCGAGTTTCATAGTAAAGCGATCAATAATTTGCTATTATTTACCTTTACCGTTTTCGATATTGTAAATCAGAGACGTAAAAATTTTGTATCTCGGAAATTTGTGTATTTGATCAATAGTCGATTAGTTTATTTATTTGTGTTTGGGTTTTGCATCTCCGACGTCTTTGATCTGCAATGCCGAATGTAGTTATTGAAAACTTGTTTCAAAAGCGTGCTAAAAATAAGCTATCGTTAATCGTTGCTTTGAATTTGTATATGATCAGTAGCGTAAACGTATTCTGAGGTAATAAATAAGAAGTAGTTTTATCGTAGTTTTTTCCACCTCTCCGTGGGAAAGAAACATAAAAAACCTTAATAGAAAATATTTTAGTGAACGTTAAGCGACAAATTTATGCGCACTAAGTCTTCTGTAGAACATTTGTAAACTAGGACATTGTAAATAAAAATGGTAAAAAACCTATCTTATTGGAAATAATATGTCTATTATTTGCAACAATACAGTGATACAATGCATTACATATAATCACAAAAAACACTGTAAAAGATACACGTATATATAAATGAAAGAAAGAACATATATGTGTGTCATTGAATATTTTTTCTTCCAAAGAACAATACGATATTTCCTGTTTTGATGTATATGAGATATATACATACGATATATATATGAGATATACATACATTTAATGAAGTTTCTTGAGTTCATTGTTTTAAATTTTTAACTCTTGTACCGTTTCTTCCATAGCAGATTTCTTTTTACTAACTATATATTGATTTTTTTCTCTTTTCGAATTTGACTTCTCGTTTTCGAGATTGATCCTGGCTTTGGAACGAACGCCAGGTCCCCAGTTTGCGGTAGGATTTTGCGGAAAGCGCAAAAGATGCTTCTTTCGTGAGATCGGATTGGCAAGAGGGTGCATAGCGAAAGAAATTTCTGTGGTGGACGATGCGTTGAGTATTCGCGCGGCCGGACTATCTTCAGCCATCTTCTCTCGTTTCGCGGGATGTTCTTTCTCCCAAGCACGTACGATGTCCCATATCACATCGTTCGGCGCGTTCGTTTTGATGGACGTTCTACTCGCGTGCGAATACGACACACTGTATCCCGCGTTCAACAACGCCGACCTGAAAGTTAATATCGACGGAGAATCGCATTTAGCTACGGACATCAGACGATCCATACTGTAATATAAAGGGTCATCCAGTTCCTCGTGTATCACACTCAAGACACCCTCTATTCTTTTCGATGTGCCCAATTCCATCTTATCCAGATTACACAACAACTCCGACACAAATCTCTCATTGTGCAAAGGACCCAACCAAATCGGGCCTCCCATATGCAGCTGGTGTTGGCAATGTTTACACGATTGGTCTACTGGAGGTGCGTTTGGCAATGAGTAGCTACATTTCGAGCCATTGACAAGCTTCTTTGTTAATAATGGTTGGAAGGTGAGGCTCTCGCATCCGTTGCACTGATAAACCATTCCTAGTTTGTTGGAATTCTCTTTGCATTTTTCGGGACTTGTGAAGACCCTGACAAATACTCTTATATAAAAATCAACACTAACAGACAATAACGGTTCTATATAGCGTCCATAACGTCCCGCATACGACGCTATGCTTTGCAGTAATATTCTCAATCCCATCTCATGGCAAGCTTTTGTTCTCAAAGGAACTGCTCCGTACTTGTAGTAACAAGTTTCTGGAACATTGCCTGCTAATATAGCCATGTCAGTAGCGGTGATCAAAAGGATACCGCCATCGGATACGCACTGAACTGCTCCATCAAGATATATGGAAGGACAACCGTATGGGTCCAGATCGACTGCGTCAAAACGATTTTGTCTATGCTGATACATTAGAAGAGTAGCGTCTTCGTGATTAGGTATTACCAAACTCTCAACCCCATTGTGTAAGACATTTTGACTGATACTGTCTACTGCTTTCCGAGAGATATCATTGGCCAATATCTGTCGGACGCCCTCAACCTCCTTGGCGTATCGTATACTGCGCAAACCAGTCGCAGACAAAGCTTCCAATATAGTAATTCCCGTTAAAGTTTCTTCTTCTCTTTTTACATTTGCATTAAGTAACTTGGTAATTTTGTTCTTTTTCTTATTTTTCTGTGTTTCATTATATTCCCTGACAAATATCGTCAATGCCGCCACACTGAGATCTCTATTGAACTCTTGAACTGGATTGTAAAATACATTTTTATCAGTAACCAATATCTGCGCTTTTCCTTCACATATAATGGGAGTTTCTTCAAATTTCTGCTTTTTTGTGCATGGCTCTTGAGCCATATTACTTAGAGCGTTTGTTGACACTAAAAAAAGAGTATATACATATATGATTTAAAATTGTTTTCAATATAAATCTTGTCCACACACGCATGTATCAAAACTTTCAATAATATTTATATATATATACATTCATATTTTTATTCCTATTTATTTATACTCACACGATTTAGCTGCACAGAAATGCTCGATTATCTTGTATAATAATTCACTTGTGTTTAGTAAAAAAATGCCCTAAAATTCTACTTATTCTATTTGACACAACTCGATGTTCTAATCGCTTATATGTGCGTGCTGGTATGTACATACGTTTAACTTCGAATCCGCAAGCACTCAATCGGTAATCACGTGTCACATGTTTCCTCCGATTGATGTGCTAGTGTCGCCGATTCACGAAAGCTGTTTGAATTCGAGCGCTCTCTATAAAGCAAAGAGAAAACTAAGAGTGCGACCACATTGTAGCAAGCTTTTTTGTTTGCAAGCGCCACGGTCTACTATATGACAAAATAAAATCAAATTGTAAAATATAATAACATATCCACAGCATATCTCTAAAAGACGATTTAAAAATGTCTTATTGTCTTTTAGATATTTTTAATGTGTCTTTTTGAGTTTTCTGTCTGTTCGAATCCTATATGGTGAGTGTGAGAAAGAGAGAGAGATAAAGCGTATAACACGTATCAAAATGTATACGTGCGTATGATGAGAATTGGAAAATAAGTTAATCATAAATGAGATTAATAAAGTACCGCTACACGCATATAAAAAGTTTCAACATTTATTTATATGATTCATACATTTTACTATTAGTTTGAATTCTTATATCTATAATTCAAAACAGTGCTGCACGTATGTCCACCCACTTTTTCAACTAATAATAAACTAAAATAGATTATAAGCAGACGCAATTTTTTAAACACAAATGTTTTTCAGATCGATTATCATTATATATTTTGTATCGTTAAAATGCTTGTTGATAAAAGTAATTTAATAATAGCGTTTTCGATTGTTATATAGATAGAATTGTTCTTGGAGCGATTATTGACGTTACTTCGGTAAATCAAACACTTGGTCGATTTGCCAAATTGACGGTCATTAATCGCTTTGATTCAATATCGGTCGCTACTAAAAAAAAAAAAACGCTGTAAAAGTTTACAAAAACCAACACAATAATATAATGCAATTTCAATTAAGGAATAAATTATAGTGAGAAGTAAAAAGTTGCAGTATATTCTAATATCTCTTACTTTACTGATATATACTTATCTCTCTTATGATTTTATATAAAATTATAACCAAGTATAAATAAACTAAAATAAATACGTCATTACTTCGGAGATTTATTATGAAATTACTGTTGTACGATTTTATCTACATTTTTTTCCAGAATTATCGTGCTATCGTCACCACGTAACGATATATGGATTATTGTTTTAAAAAACTTCTGACTGCAATTTTTTCCATTTCTTATCTGCTTAAATTTTTATACCATTTTTGAACGTTATTTTAATGTTCACAATAAAATAATTTATAACAGAAATTTATTTCAATGAAAAAATCTTTTGAATATAATTCCATAATATCTCTCCTCTCCTGATATATATCTTCATACCGAACACTTTCGCAAGTTTTACCGCACACTTTTTTCCACTACTCAGCCTTACTAATCGAGCGAATCATCATTGAATAAAACAAAATATAAAAGTTTAATATATGTTTATATATAATATATGAATATATTTGCTGGAGTATAAAAATTGAAAATGAATGCAAAAACATTTTTTCACACATAAAGCTGAATAAAATAGAAAAAACATTTACACATATATATGTGCAGAAATTAAAAGTTTATTTTTATAGAAATTAAGATTTTTTTATCTCACACTAATGAATACTGAATATTATTCGGATTATTATAAGACACGGATTTGTTATTTATTAGATTTAAAGAGAAGACAAAAACTGTGTGATACGACCGCTTCTTCCGTTATTATATCGATAGTATTGAAAATCTAATGCACGTTGCATTTAACTACAGATGTAGTACTGCCATCAAATAACGGAACGTAGCCAATATAAGCTGCTATTTTCAGTCATAAAATGATATATGATATGATGAAGCAGACAAATCTTTGTGTGAAGTTTTGTTCAGTTTATAGTATCAGAAGGCAAGATTTCACGAAGATGTTAAATTATAACAAGTTGATGCAATATCTTGACAATTTCCTATTGATATCTATTAGAAGTTATCTATCGATATCTACATAGGGGAGAGGGAAGGAATGAATTTACTGATTGACAGGCTGTCATCGCTCTCGTAGAAAACACAATATTTTATGCATCAACAAATACTAATCCTCTACATTCTCGAGAAAAATATCAACATTTTCGAGTTTTATCAAAGTTTAGATTATTCTAATTATCGTCAAATCAGACATTCGCACTTCTCACGCCACATCCTTTTCCTGCATCGATTTCTTGCAAGGGGAAGCCGTACTATTACTTTCTTCGTCCTCTGCCTTTCGTTTTTTTCTCACTAGATGTGAGATATCGCTGACAGGTTTTGACGCGATACCACTTCCAGAAGCCTCATTCGCTTTCGCTTCCGCGTTGCTGGAGCATCCGTTAGCTTCTTCTTTAATCTTCTTAATCACGTCGGCTTCTTTCTTTTGATCCTTGATATCGGCGATTTTCTCCTGAATCTCCGGAAGTAGATCTTGAAGCTCCTTGATCTCGCCCTCGACCGTGTAAAACGGATCGTCCGACTGCGGCGGATCGTCTTGTAAAGTCTTCAGATACACAATTTTCGCTTCCAGCAACGCGGACGCCTGGTTGAATTGCTCGATGCTAGCGTCGAAGTTGTTTGCTATCGAGTGCGCCACTCCCATTTGATAGTGAATCTCGGCAATCGCGCGATGGTCGCGCGGAGTCATCTTCTCTAGCAAATTTAGACACGCCTTGAAGTCGGTCAGCGCGCTCTCGTGATTGCTACTCTCCATCGCTACCTGGCCCAGAAGACTATATGCTTCAGCTAATTTTTTCCAGCCCGCGGATCCACGCTTTAAAAGCACTAATTTTGCCAGTTCTAAAACTTCCCATGCGATCTATAAAAAAAAGTTTTAACGTACTCACAAACATTTATTATATAAAATTTATTATCAATTCTAACGTAATATTAAACAAGACAACAACGTAACTCAATAGTAATCAAAAAGTATAGTACACTAGACATCAAACAAATCAAGAGTGTCAATCACATATATAAATACCTGTAGATTATTTACTTCGTCTTCATCATTTTCCTTCTCAACATCCTCTTTTGTTGCTTCATCGTCTTTCTCTTTATTCAAGCCACTGCAAGATGCTTCACCATTTTGAAGATCCTTACTGCAACTAGGAATTTCTTCTTTCTGCTTATTCTTCTCTTTGATTGTTTTATCGAACTTTTCCGTCTTCTCGCTTTCCTCGTTTTTTTCAGTCTTTGTATCTTTCGAATCTCCGCTTTTCTCCTCCGTTATCGACTCTTCCTTATCATCTTTGCCATTTGACATGCAAGGAGCACTTGCTGTGCTACTGTTGGCTTCCGTACCGGTAATCTCCTCGCTTTCTTCGTCTTCCTCGTCCTCTTCGTCTTCACCCTGCTCGTCCTGACTAGCTTCCTCGGATTCACCGGGTACACCGCCTCCCAATACTCCCGCTTCTTCGCGCGCAAGTTCCAGAAGAGCTCGTCCGTAAAGTAGATAAAGTTCGCCCATTTCATCGCCGGTCTCGCCATGCTCTTGAGCAAGAAGTTCGCAAGCCTGGGCGAGAACAACTACCGCCAAGTTGTAATCGCGCACCAAGAGATGTCGTTTGCCTTGAGAAATTGCCGTCGCAGCATCTTTGATCGGCACTTCCTCCGAAACATCGGCCATCTATAAAGAACATAAAGATTTCCGTATAAAGAATTTACGAAAAGAACTTACGTTCGGACTTTTTTATCAATACAGTATATATTAACATATTATTGTTAAAAATTGCTTTTTTTTTATATTACTATAATTTTTTAATCACATCGTGTTTTGAAAATTAAATCAATTTTGTTTATAAGAGAAAAGCAAATTTTTAGAGCATCAGTATCGGTAAATAATATAAATAATATAGGTAAATATATATATATATATATAAATACAAAATATTATCAATTATAGCGCGTTTACATCAATTTTCGGTTATTATGCGGGTTTAATATCTGTCTTCATTTCTTGTTCGTATGGTCGAAATAGTTTGAAAGACGTAGAAAAAGGTAATAAAAGTGGGCATCCCCGCAGCATCCGCGGGTAGGGATGGAGAGACGCGGGTGGCTCTCTCCGCGTCGGTCGATTCGTCGTAGCGAAAGGGTGAGGGCGTCCGTGTCGAGGATACCGAGAAAACAGGAGTACGAAGAGTGCACGTTGGCCAGTAACGACGAGTCGGAAGACGCAAAGCGTCGCTTACAGGCGTCGCCCTGGGCGCCGCTGCCTGAGAACAGATGGAGCCGACTCGCGTACCCCGTGGCCCCGGTCCGCGTCTCGTCTTCCTCTTCGTCACGCTTGTGCTGACCTTTGCAGGTAAAAGAAAGACGCGTCGAAGAATAAATGTGTTATTGTGTCGCGAGAAAACGTCTCTCCATATTAAACTTTTCATAACATGTGTATCACACAGAGACCAAAAATGCGTATCTTTTAATATTAATCTTTTAAATATTAATCTCTTTTATTATTTTATAACATTTTTTCTTTTTAAAAGAACATTTACAGAAGCTTTTTAACGTAACGTACGTCAACAAAATATAGTATTTAATTAGTTTAATCCGTAATCAAGAAAGATTTCTATTTCGAGAGAATTTCATATTATGTATTCTGATGCAAGTGCGCTGTTTTTGATTCTCTAAATGCGTATTACATGAGATGTGTGTGTGTGTGTAGGTAGATTATATATATGTAAATTAAAATTAATAAGTTTTAATTGTATTTTACTAACACAGGCTTGTTTCCAAAGTTAATATCAAGTTGACACAAAAGATTTATGAGATAAAGCAGAAAATGGAAAATTTATACTCTCAAAAAAACTGTTATCTATTAGTCAAAATATTTATGTTATTGGCTGACATTTCAATGACATTATGTGTTATGTTTATTAATAGTAAAAAAATTTATTTTTACACCAATCTTCGATATTGTGTGTTTAAGCGACGGGGCTTCTATGCGGTGCGATTATGTCGGATCATTGGGAAGAAATCAGCTGGAACAGGGAAGATCTGAATCACGCAAATGTCAGCCTCGAGTGGTACTTGGACGGTCAAGTAGCAATGTTAAAGTCGTCTTCCGTCAATCGTCAAGCTAATCGTCACAGGAGTCCGTCCTTTCTAGTTCCGATGCACGGCGGAATTTGGATCATGTGTGTCTCATTGTCAGGTAGTAAAATTTGTCGATTCTATTTAATTTCCACTTAATTATTTGTTCTATTATATATTAATTTTTTCATTCAAAACATTTCTTTTTTTTTTTTCGTTTTCAAAAATAACAAAAAATTTTTATCCTTTTATTTGTGCATAAAATTGATGCTGCGCTCGTTTTTCATTTCGCTTTTAACAGAAACGTTATACCCCGACTTCATGTACAGAATTAGATCTATAAAAGGTCTATAATAGGATTGTGTTGCTCAAATTCATGAAAAAAGTCAGAATCACGGTCACGCAATTGTATAGATGCTCCGTGTTGTTCAAACTGTATAATTCGACGGTTCGATATCTCTCAGACCAGAGTCAAGGTAGCGCCTAAATATAGTCACGTGTATGTACCTACATGCAATATAGACACGTAAATTCCTTTCGATGGAATTTCAGAGAAAGCTACTTATCGAATTTCTCCACAAGATACAACAAATGTTATTGTTATTTTTTGATATTGTGCTCTTTAAATCATCGATTTAGAAAAACTACTACTATTACTTTGTAATAAGTAAGAGTTTAAAAAACAGATTAATAACAATGCATTTTTATAACATCATATTTGTTATAGAGGAAGAGATAAATCTGCTGGATCAGTTGGGTTTTCCACAGCGGAGATGTATCAATCACTTGACACCGGACGAGACGCACGAAGACACACGTGTGGCTTGGCAAAATCGTAAGTGAATATCAAGCAACACAGTTAAACCAATACACTCAATAAAACATTGAGCATGTATCATAATTATATCCAGTTTCAAATAAGAAGAATAAATTATCGTAAAAAAGATGTTTTCTAGTTTTGTCATGTTTATACTATTAAAATAAGTTTCTATTAACAAGAACCAAAAATCATGTTCAAAAATTTATTGTATAATTTATAACAAACTTTATCGGAGATTTTTTTTTTTTTACATCTTCAGGGATGCAGAATCTAAGTATTTCGTGTTCTCTGGTATGCCTGATCATTTTGGGATGTGCTGCGCTAATAGGTTTTTTTGGACTATGCAGGCACCAGATATCGGCTGTGCTTGTGACTGGAGTGATGTATCTCCTTGCGGGTAAGCTTCGTTTATGTACACGTTTATGTCACGATAAGATAACTCCCTAACAAACTGAGCTGGCAATTGATTGTTGGATTTTGTGTCAGCTACGTTTGCGTTGTTCACGCTGACGATCATTCACTTCAAGAGAGTGCAGGACCGTGGTGCGAAACCGATAGCGGATGTGCCCGAAGACGGTGTGATCGGCACGCCAGTTGTCCGCGGCGTTCTCAAAGCCAGAAGATTCGCTACCGCGTGGAGCATGGATCTGGGATGGGGTGGAGTCACTCTTTGCGCACTCGCATCGGTTGCCTGGATCCTTCTCAGCAAGATTATGCGTTTCAGCCCGATCGCCGCTATGATAGCGTAGCAGTGGGACGCCTTCGAGGTTTAAGGTCATTTCTGATAGTTTAAAACATTTCTGCGATCCTTTCAGATAAAAACACTTTGACAAACTTTCCAATTTACGTATCTAGTTTGATTCTTTTTCTTCTTTCAAACAAGCAGTTTAGAAAAAAATCTCAAATATTTTTGTTTTTTCATTAGTGTTTCAGAAAACATAATAAATTTCTCCGATGATATTTTTATATCCAGAGATCAAAGTTCCTCTCTTTCAATTTCACCTTAAAAAGGATCGCAAATATTGAACTATTGGATATGATACTACTGCAGAAAGTTGCATCCAGAAATGACCAACTCGAAGGCGAATTACGTGCCTATTTTTATATCATTTGTCTCATTTTGCAGAACTGTTTGCTATTGTGCGATTAAAGAAAAAAAAAATAGCAGTTATTTATCGAAGATATAAGACAAAGCGATTCTGACGAAGACGTACAATTTTTCATAATCTAACAATTCTAACGTTTTATCTCGACGCTTTATAGAAAACGCCAGTTTAATGATTTCAATGTGCAGTATATTGCACGCCAACAATGATAGCGAGTATTATAATACTTTGATATTTGTAGTTGCCTAATTTGTAATCAGAAACGCCTTACGATTAGAGTGATAAGCATATATTTATAAAGCATTAAGATACTAGTTGTACGTATACACACAGAGAATCAGATATATAAAGTGTGACACATTAATTTCTTTTGGAAAGAGGTGAGAATGCATGAGCAGGCTAAACTTTTCTCCTTGGAAAATTGCGATCTCTTTGTTTCAAATATTTTTTTTTTCTTCTAAGAATCTGTACTTTTTTTCAAGATATTGATTGTGTCACGCTTTAAACGCCTTAACTTGTGTAACGCGTAAAATTCTTTTGTGCGATGAGGAGGCTTGCTTGTAATAGCGACTCATAGACGAGATAACTACGCACGGTATGTGTCCTGCATGGAAGGATCGCGCAGGCTGCATTTCGTCCATTAAAACTTAAGGAAGAACTTCCGGTACTCATGTTACCGGGCGCTTTTGAAACGCCACGTTTTTATAACAACGTATTCTTAATTGCCATATTTTTTATGCAATCTTTGTTATTTGTTATATTGATGAGCACAAATAAAGAATTACAACAAATCGCTGATTGAAACCTCTATTCAAGATCCGTTATTTTAGCAAGATGCATAACTTAGTTCGTATTCGAGTTATTTGAAACTCGTAAATTAATTTGCTTAAGTACATTGACAATCTTGATAAGTTGAATAAGTACTTAATTATTCCCGCGCACGCTTATTTAATTGATATGACGTATAACCTAACCTAGCTTTCAAACTGTCGCTTTCAACAGTCCATTGTTCTTTTTATTGCAACAATCCCGATAATTTTAATCATTACTTTTACGCTTCGCAAATAAAAAAACTCGCCAGAAGTCTGGTTTAAACCGACAAAAAAGTCCATTTTCCACACAATTATCGATGTTGGCGCGCGCGCGCTGCTTTTATTCTTGTCTCTCTCTCTCTCTCTCTCTCTGTTTTTCACATATGCGTTTGCACACGCATTTTTTTATTCTTTTTCTATGTATAAAACAACTTATTTTTTTTACCTTATCCAATTAGTGCGGAAAAAAACCGAAACGGACACTCATAAAATAGCACTTAAATATCTTATATTTGTACAAACATTTGTTTTTCTTCTTTGTTTCGTTAAAAATTATTGTCATGTAAATCGAATGGGAAAAATAAACTCAACTCGTCGGAAAATAAGAGAAAAGTGGTTTGCACGTCCAAACACGATCTCGTTTGTGTCAATATAAACGTTAATCGTTTTGTTCGCGTACGTACCTTACTGACGCTGAAAAATACCGACGTTCCTCTTAAACGACGTTGTCAATTCCTCTAATCCAAGGAAAACCAGACAAAACGCACAATTTCCGTTAATGCACTTGCCGAGCAGGTAACTTGTACAACCGGCACGCGGGTAAATTTTACGAGCATTCGCGGCGCACAACCATAGACGACGAATGTTCTCAAAGACGGTTGATCCGACAACGAAAAAATAGAACTTGGCGAGGTAGGGAAAAATTAAAACGCGTCCATCTAAACATACCAAAAATCACCCAATCACGCGCGATATTAGGATATGCAACAAAGGTTTGTTCGCGTCGCATGCCCCAACATGCTCCTATTCGCTCCGTCGCACTCAGTGCGCACTAGTGCAGGCTACCGAATTTGCTGTTAGGGCGCGTTGGGGCATGCGACGCGAACAAACCTATGGTATCCTTCGTTTCAAGCTCGAATGATTGCTGGAATTCGAATGTGCATAATTTCATCTGGTAACCCTCGAAGTCTAGTAACTTTGATAAAACTATATACACGAATGCGGTCGTTATTCCGCAACTTGCGCATGCGAAAATGATATTTGCTGCGTTTAGTAAAAACAAGTTGCTTTCTAGCAATCGGACGTGATTGGCTCTTACTTTTAGAACCAACTAATCAACGTCGAGTGTCGACAAGACGACAACTCAGCAACTGTTCTACTAAACGCAGCCATTATTCGCATCAAATAACAGTTGCGACGATCAGGCGAACAATTGCAAAACGTCAAGATGTCGAGCGAAAACACGCAACATTGATTCGACTCTGAGACTGCGCATGCGACACATCGTGCTTCCTGCATCCCGTCCTTCACAGCCTTTTAGTTGCGCTTTTGCAAGTATTTTCCTTTCTTACTGCTTTTACACGCACTTATTACAAGTAAGTACGTACT